AGCAGAACGCTTCATGGCTCTGTAACTCGGTCAGACGACATCTTCCTTTTTCTTCCTAGCATATACTCATATGCGTTTCTAGAGTCCGCTATTCTCGTTTAGGTCGCACTCGCACCCGCTTGGGATATACTGGGCCACCAGATACGTTCCAGGACGAGGACAAGGTTTCTTTTGACGAAAACTATATGGCATGCGATCTTGTAATAAATTGGGCAGCCGAAGGGCTTGTTCTCTGTTTCATTCATGCCGTGACAGGTCTGTCGTAGTTCATTTGCTCATTTATCCCAGACCTCCTTACACGATGCAGACATGTCACCTCATGATAATGACGAGAATAATCCTACTAATTGGACTAATTGGTGTGGAACTCCAGACATGGGCGACCAGGTAAATACCCACTTTGTGCAGATATTGAAGGTCATTTAAGACAAATTACCACTTCGGTCAGGATAGTGGAAAACTCTATCGAGCTCTGCTCAACACCATTTCTCATCACTCTCATGGCACAGTTCCACCTACGCGTGTTTTTCAGATATTGAAGAATTCTACGGACCGCCCCGCTCTCTTCTCCTGGCCGGCTCAAGGCTACATTTCCGGAGATTATGGACAGCTTGCAAACGACGTGCAAATTGGGGGAGCTAATGGTTCCGATGCTAAGACGTCCTGTACTCGTCGGTATAAGGCATTGCAAGTACTTAATAGCGCAGATGGATCAGTCCGAGATGCTGAAAGCATCTTTATCCCTCACGGGCGTATTATATTTGCTTGCCATAAAACAGCTCCTCACAGCCCGCGTGGACACCCGAGCTCGTACCCTACGATGTATCAGTCGCCGCAGGACTTTTATGACTCACCAGGGCAGGTCCCGTATTATCCTACAGTTCCATCGCAGTTGGACTCATATACAGGTCCTGGTGGTCATCCATATACCTACTCTGCTCATTCTAAGGCAGGCAAGTCGCATACGCAATCGCCTTTACCTGGATCTTCTGGAAGGTCGTCTCCTGATGGTGTGCGGGGACATCCATCGTACTCTTGGGCCGCTTCATCATCTGTTCCTCATTCAGTGCCATATTCTGATAACTCCCCTCAAGGAAGTCAACGCCAATTGCAAAAGTATCTGGATGAAGTCCCACCTCCACGCCAGCGAGGGGTCAGACTTACCCCAGAAGCCAGTGTAGGGAGTAGTCGAGATTCATATGCCAATGTTGGACGATTAAGCGGCAACCCTCCAACAGGAGTCATGCGCTGTGCTGCATGCAAGAGCACGAGTAGTCCGGAATGGCGCAAAGGGCCAAGTGGCAAGAAAGATTTATGCAATGCATGCGGCTTGCGTTATTCTCGCGCAAAGGCTAAGAAGGACGGCGTGTCCTCCCAGAGACGAAGAAAGGACGCTCTGAAGGTTCCCAGCCAAATGCCAGAAGAACCTAACTATAAGCGTCGAATTTATTCAGGGACGTCGCACGTCGACTTTTCCGCAGATCCCCAACGGGTGGACGCAGGTGGAATTAATTATACTGAAACACCTTCCCCGTCTCCTCCGAGAGACCATCCACATCACCCACCTTCCCACCATGCTATCCAGTCGAATTCATCGTTGTACCCTTATTCTACCCTCGATTCAGGCCCACCGATGTATATGGCCTCTACACACACATATTCGCATCATCATCACCATCAGCCTTACCATACTTCGGCTGACTTCCTTCCCTCTGCATCCAGTCCGGCACCGGGTGATTTTGCAACTTCTTCCTCTGCAGGGCTGTCTGGTGGGTTATCTGCCCCAATGTCGTCCTATGAACGCACTGGTATGTCTTCTGAGCCGCGCACCATAGACCACAATAATCATACGGAGCACGCTCATGTACGATCCTAATGGCCGTCGTACGGCGACGACTTTTTGGGCAGCGTTTCGTAATCCTATCGTCTGCGATTTTTATTCTTCCCATGTTCGCCCCATCACACACTGTTCCCATCACATCTTATCTGTCACAATTCTTCCCGGTAGCGTATAATGTACAGGTTTTAAGGGTTGCTTCCATCAGTAGAAGGCTTCCTGCAAATCGTGTATGGTTATGTTGTATAATTTCTCCTTCCTAGAGTTCTGATACGAGTCCAGTATGTTCAGTATAAAACATACTTAATAAAAGCCAATAACGGGCTCTGAATCCTATACGAACGTCGCAAAATGTCTGGTTTGATTTGAATGATCTATAATCGATTCACATTGGCGCATCGATTAATTGGCGGTACAATGGATGAACGTGTATTTGTGGGCTCAGATCCACATACAATACGCCATACAACAATAGTAGATATATGGGCTCAGATCCACTTACAATACGCCGTACAACAATAGTAGACATGTGGGCTCAGATCCACTTACATACGCTGTACAACAATAGTAGAATATAGATAACCAACGGGTATCTGTGGTCGAATATTCTGATTGTGGGACATGGCTATCATTTCTGACGGACGGCCTGACATGACTAATGGAGAGAATATTGATCGCATCTGCCAGACCACCAGTACCTCTTGAGGTGTTCTGGATTTCTGAATGCTTTGTGGCCTGTACTCGAAATGACTGGAGGCCCACGAGAAGGTACCAGGCACGTTCTGATCGTCGCCACCATCTGGCCTATGCCCGTGTCGATATCGAAAACGCCATATGGAGAGAGTTGAGGTGGTATGCCATTTATTACCAGCAGCATTGGGAACACCAATGATCCGCTTATCTGATGCAATAGATTCTAGATTGTGCGGCCTTGGAGTAGCAACTTGTGAGGTGATTGGTGTGTATCTTGTGGAGATTGATCAGATATAGAGTTAGCGCATTTTTTCTCCATTCGTTCTCCACCCTTGATATCAAATATCTTGACAATATTTCGAGCAATGAACGCAATATATATACAGATATATAATAGCCCAGATGCATATAGCATATAGCATATCTTATCCACTCAAAGAAATCGACGTCTTTAAGCCAGTCTCATTTATTTAATTTACATTTAATGCATGGAGAGTCTTCGGCAATCAATATTTCAACAATCAGAAATCTCCGTAAGATTGGCGTCCAATCAGGCACGTCATGTCACACTGTCACGTTGCCCACCATGTTGTCACAATCCCCAAAGCTTCAAAGAGCCATGGAGATGGCTTCCGATAAACCCCATGGTGACGTTATTCATGGTCAAATATATTGTTAGTGTTATTTACTGTCGTATTTTTTTTCTCATGTATGTGAGTTGTTCATCTTAATAGCCTACACAGAAAAATGTATGGATCCCGAAGCTATTCCTCATATACACGACGTCATATACGCCACACGTCGCATCATTCGTCCTCATATGTTATGGGAACATACACAGGACCTTCTTGAACTATTTGCTCACGCTGAAGCCATTCGGCGACAAATCATCATAGATGCAAAGGAAGCTATGGTGTGGGATCAATTTTACCACATGGGAACACACGACATGGTAGATGGGAGACGTCTTGACGAGCGGGACAGGAAGATTCTAAAGGGCATGCTAAAGAACGATGGTACTCTAAGGGAAACATATCGCACTGTGGTATTACATGTGTGCTGGGCGGTGAGCATTCTCTTGATCAATTATTTCAAGAACGCGAGTCACATGTATGTATAAAGCATCTCCATTATGTTCGACGCTCAGGTCAGACGGTGCCAACATTGATTCGTCTGTTTCGGCAATATTTTCCTGATCCCAGCATAATAAAGAGCAAAAGTGCACATCAGCCTCTAGCATCATGGATGTCAGACATGTCGCAAAATGAGATCCCAGTATACGACGTTCTTCGAGAGAAAGTGACAGACTTTCTTGTAGACGCGGAGCAGTGGGAAGCACAGTATCTGAAGGGACAGTCGTGAGTTGTCAATTCAAAAAGATCGTGGAAACGTTAATAATCCTCGCCATTTACACAGAAAGCAAATGCAGGGGTCCATTAGAAGCACGCTAGAATTTCAAGATGCTTTTTCCAAGAGGTTCCCTCTCCTTGTTGAATGGGAAACGCTGATAAATATTTTGGATCGACATTTGGGTAAAGTGAGTTTGGTGCACCCATTCTGTTTTTTAAGCTTAACCAAGATATTTCCACAGATCCAGACAATGGTCGAAAAGCTAAATAACATTTTCCCATAAAGAGTTCTCCAATTACTTCTGTGAGATGATTCATTGCTTTTGTCTGTCCACGACTAAATTCGCATTTATATTGGATATCAAGTTCTTTTATAGGGTTTGTAAGAGACGATCCCGAAAGAATGGGCCTAACATCTCGTGAACTCCATCATATTCTGCCAGTGTGGTTCCATGGAACGTACCCATATGGCCCGAATATCCCTTTTAGAAGGTGGCGAGATATCATGATTTAATCTTCTCCACATTTTAGGCATTTTAAGCACGTCTAATATTCTAATTCCTGCCATTTTTCAGCTTTCGAATATCAACATGTTTTTTACCTTGATCATTGTATAACTATACAGATACGGGCGTGTGTACAATTATGTTCTCAGTCATGCATTTATGTACCTATCAATATTTTTGCCGTTCCTGGTAGGTCTTATTCTCTCCGCGTGCCACAATATACGCAACGACACCTGGCGTCGAAGACCGAACTTAAGTCTTGATGGAAAATGAATTGGCTTTACATATGTCGGGAGTCCTAGAACCAGACTTGGCTTTCTTAGAGATCTAACAGACTTCATTCAGAATATTAGCATTTTCGTTATATATCTAACAGTTCCGGCCAATAGGGATCTTAGAGTCATAGACACGACACGTCAAGTTTGGCCAAGGCCGACCCCCAAAGACTTCTCAAATTTGCGTTGCAAAGTCTGGAGTGAACTTTGAGAAAAATTGACCAAATTCAGATATTTTTTCCATCAATATGGTCTATTTTATATAATCTGGAACTCCACATAGCACCCGCTTAATGTTTTAGTTGGGTCAATTGTACTCCACCATAACTTCATTGAAACTGGGGACGTGGTGTAGGGGTTATCACGCCTCATTTGCAAACACTTCGGGGTTAGAAAATTGAGGCGGTCACGAGTTCGATTCTCGTCGTCTCCAGTCTTTTTGCATCTCCACAGCAGACTCTTCCCATGCTCTTTACTCTCGAGTACCCTTCATATAGACATACACACTTATGATATATTTGTTTCCCTTGCTATATAACAGTTTCTAATGTATTTGCTTCGAGGTTAAGAATTAAAATACAAATTGGTGGGTGAATCCAATTGCATTATAATACAATCACTATTGGGCTATTCCTCAGTAGTAGAAGTTACACTGTAATGTAGATGTATTATATGTGCACTTACAGCTGATTGTATTTTGTGAGGTGGATACTCTATGTTAAGAACTAAACTCAATGGGGATAACTAGGTAAGCAACTGGTGACTCTGGTGCTTCTAAGAGTGGAAGCTTACCTTCTGTTAAGAGTCATGTGCAGAGCTTATTGGAGGGTTTCTGGAGAAACCTGTGGGAAAGCTGGTAGGACTTGGCTTCAGCTTATAGGCTGCACCCTCGTGAAATCGTCTTGTCCAATTTCAAATGGGTGGATGGGAATCCCAGGGAGTCTGGGAGGGGTTCATGGGGTCAGGGAGTCAACTGTGGGAAGTCTGTGGAAGTCGAAGGGTCGGGCAGAGATGAGTTGGGGGTCGAGATAGATAAGTTGGAGGTCGAGTGATAGATGGGTTGGAGCCTGTGGGCTCTGATGAGGTAAAGTGGTGTGTTTCAAAGAGGAGATTAGAGCAGAAAATATACTTGAGATTACTGGGGAGAATCTAAGCTGATTTTCTGACTGGATTGTATGTACAACATACCAAATCTAGTAATAATGAAAGCTAAACTAGCAAACATGAAACGAGATAAGTAAACACCAAACTTGGTGTTAGGAATGGGATGGAGTGGAGCAGAGTCCGAATCATGACAGGTTGTTAAACCATAACGGGAATGGGGTGGGAGTGGAGTCCAAATCGTGACAGGTCATTTGACCATAACAGGAACGGAGCTCAGTTAGAGAGATGTCAGGTTTTCTGAGTGGGGTCTGGTGACTGGTATGTGGGACAGAGTTGGAGATATGTCACGAATCAAATTTTACTCAATAAAGTCGAATAAACAATCAAAGAATATTCAACAATATCAAATAAAGATGCCTCATTCGACAAAGTATTAATTCGTCCTGTTGATAAAGTGTGAGGCAAAGATAGGACACAGAGGCTCACGAATAAATATGTAAGTCAAAGAAAGGCTCAGAAAAAGTTTGACAATTATATAATACAGTAATAATATAATATAGTACAGGTTTTCTGACTGACTTCCTTCGTTCCTATCATTGCCCTTATATACTATATATCATTTACCTATGATATCAAAGTGAAATCATCAATGACATCAACCTGAGACAAGTCGGAGATATTTGAGATTGTTGAAGATATTGTTGAAGAATAATTGAGTCAGAAGTCGAGTCGGAAGTCGAGTCAGAAATTGAGTCGGAAAGTCGAAGGAATGTCAAAGAAATGTCAAAGAAATATTAAATTGAATATTATTGAAATTTGAGCTTGTATGTTTGTGACAGTATTCCCCTTTTATGACCGAGCTCACGAGGTCAAATTGTAATCAAATTAATAGTTCCAGATTTCACTTGAATATTGATTTGATCAAGAAAATCAAAAAGTCGGAAATATTTGAAAGTTGAAAATCTTCGATAGTCAGAAATATTTCAAAGTTGGAAATATTTGAAAATCGGAAATCTTGAAAAGTTTGAAAGTTGAAAGTCGAAAAGTCAAAAATTTTGGAAAAGTCGAAATCTTCGAAAAAGTCGAAAGCTTCAAAAATGGAAATATTTAAAAGTCAAAAATCTTTCAAAATCAGTAACCATCGAAAGTCAGAAAATCTTCGAAAGTCGGAAAGAAGAAGTTGGAAGATAATCGTGTGGTAGAAGAATTGAAAAGTCTCAGATTTTGATCTCGGATTTTGATTTCTTGTAAATCTTCTAGGAAATAATGATTTGACTCGCTGTCACAACCCTCACATGTCACGTATTGTCACAAACATTCAAAGGTAACTTTCGACAACTCTTCGACCTATTGAATTCAACTCGACAAACCGAACATTATTCGACACCATTGAATCTCTTTCGACATGTCTCATTTCAACGTCATATATGATTTCATAATTAGTTCATAACATAGTCATAACGATACGACGAAAAGCATAAAAGGGCTACGAAAGAAGCGAGGGAAGTCAGTCGAAATATCTGTATATTAGTGATATTAGTAATTTACTTTGTCGTAACTTCTTCGACAAATACTTCTGTGAGTTCTCGTGACTGGTAATAGCCTCTTACTTCATCGACAGGGCAAATATATACTTCGTCGAATGAGGCTTTCGAGTTCGATTAGTAGAATATTATTCGACTTTATTGAAGAATAATCGATTCGTGACACTCACCCAGATTGAAGCATGCTTCTCTTTTTCCAATAAAGTCGTGATTGACATTTGAATCAGATTCGGATTTCTTGAAGATTGTCGAAGTAGGTTTGAACAATGTAATGGCCAGATCGCTAGTCAATCTCAGGATTGTATTGCTTCAGCCAATTGAGTCCTAATACCACTTGACATGACAAGTCTGATAATGTTGTTGTGGGAATGATAGATGAAGGGGATGTGAAACGAATTGGATTTGTGGTGTGTGCTCAGAGTGTCCTATACTTTATCAACAGTTGGCAGTCAGAAAACACTGTCACGAATTGATTATTCTTTAATATAGTCGAATAATATTCTACTGATTGAACTTGAAAGCCTCGTTTGACGAAGTATATATTTGCCCTGTCGATGAAGTAAGAGGCTATTACCAGTCACGAGAACTCACGGGAGTATTTGTTGAAGAAGTTATGACAAGTTAGATTACTAGTATCACTAATTTACAGATATTTCAACTGACTTTCCTTGCTCCTTTTGTAGCCCTTTTATGCTTTTCTTTGTATTGTTATGACTATGTTATGAACTAATAATGAAATCATACATGACATTGAAATGAGACATGTCAAAAGAGATTCGATGTTGTCGAATAATGTTCGGGTTTTGTTGAGTCGAAGAGTTGTTGAAAGTTACCTCTGAATATTTGTGACAGTATTGTGACTTGTGATGGTTGTGACAGTATCCTCCCTTTGTGACCGAGCCCATGAGGTCAGAGTTTAAAAAGTTTTTCATCATCTATTTTCATCTTCATCAATCAATGTCTGATATAGAAGTTGATCAACTCGAATCAGTATCTGAGTTTTTGGGTTTTGAAGATAGAGATATAGTTGTTGATGCAGTTGGTAAGTTGATTTCTGGGATTTCTTTTAAATTAGTTAATTAGTTATTATTTTTTTAGAAGAAATTCCCAAAAAGTGTATAGCAGATTGACTGTCACATACTTTGTCACAGATTGGTCATCCAAGGCAGGATTGGTGAATATGTGTGACATGTCAACTGTTTATATAGTGCCTGCAACCTATGTCAGATAGCCTGGCATAGTAGCTCTTTTAGCCCAGTTGGTATAGTGTTCATTGCAGGGAATGCTTATGTAACAGTATGCCAGGCTGCCAAGGTCATGAGTTCAATTTGTTGTAATATGAAGCTATAACAATAATACTCAGTCTCGTAGTTGTAAACAAGAACTAAATTCTATAATGGCTAACCTATAACAATAATACTAATAGAAGTATCAGTACCTAGTTATTGTGCATTATTTAATAAAGATCTACTAACCTCAGTCTCATAGTTGTAAACAAGAACTAAGGAAAAACTTTCTAACTCAGACTTACAGCATATATAATGTTTTTGACATTGCATAAATATATACAGAAGTTGTGGACCATAGTGGACCAAAACACACACGTGACACAGACACGTCACATTGTATTCCAACACGCTGTTACGACCGTGTTGCTACCCTATCGGTCCCGAGGTTATCGCCACTTATCAACATTTTCAAGTCACCACTTCGGAAACCATTCGGCCCCGAAGCTGACATATGTTTTTGTGATGATCAAACTCCGTTTACGCCCACGTCAAATAACTCGTATTGTCTGGTTAAACTTTTGATACGTCCCTTTTATTTGTTGATCCGTTCAATCCTATGTTTCACATATGTCTATCTATATTTGTAGTCCTTGAACTATTTCCTTTTATTGTAATTCCGCCCTTGGTTATCATCGGCCCCCGAACTAATCATAAACTTCCTGTGAAGAGTCGATAGATTCTGACCATTCAATATACGAAGTATAGCGTTTATTCAACTACTATTGGCAGGTATTGACCGTTCAGTACAATACCGTAGATTACTAGACTGGCAGTACTAGCAGGGAGACACGCAATGCGTCACAAGAGCAACTGTACAGTTGCTCTTGATGGCTAGAATGAAAAGATGAAAGAGTTGACCTTCACGGTACAACTCGTAGCTAGAAGTAAGATAGATAATCAACGAGAAGCTGAATATCTAAAGTAAAGAGATAGTAGCGCGAGTCGACTATAATGTCGACGAGCGCAAAGACCTTAGAGTGGAACTCGACCTTCGCGGTTTGAGTCCAAAGTCTGTTAGTATGCAAGAGATCACTATCTTTATAGGTAGTTGAGACGTTACCCTTGACACCTCTCGCTATTCGACGTCTGGGTCATTTACGAGGTGGTGTCTGCTGGGTAAAAAGTGTCTATCGTTTGGTGCCGAGAGCGCCCATACATATACACAAAGCTTCGAACTACAAAATAAGGGTATGCTCGAAATATAGAAAGAATGTAAATGAAGAAAATAAAAAGTAAATAATAAAGTACTATAATCCAACTATTATTCCTTAGTCCAATTATGCATATATGCATACCCTTCACACTTCCCGTTCCTAGTCAAGCTTATTGTTAATACCGTTTTTCCACCCTTCTCCCCATTAGTATTTTCTAGACGCCTGTTACTTGTATATGAACCTGCTGTAGTTGTAGTTACTAGGCAATCAGAATATCAACTCAGAATACCCTCATACGTCTGTAACAGTCTCATACTAAGAATCCCCCCATCCACCTTTGTG